ATCTGTTTAAAATCTGTTTTTCCGTTAATCAGCTGTCGCCCCCATACGAACGACAACTCTCAGAAGTTGAGAAACTTGTACGAGCTAAGGACTAACGAGGTCTTACCTTTTAACGTGTGATTCCTAACACGGTTGCAGAATCATCCCAGCTTCTACCAGATAAATTTTCTCGAAAAAAAATATCTGGTCGAGGTAGAAATCGAACCCAACGGTCATCCAATCGTGATTCGGGCGCACTATCGCCGCGGCCAATTCCACAATTCCAAATGATATAACAATTTAAATTTATTTCTAGGTTGCAGTGATTTTTGCTATTTTTGTAGCATGCCGAAAAACAGAACTGAAAGATATGTAAATAGATCATATTGAAGATATGGGCCAAGAACCATACATCAAAGTACCGGACACAAACACTAAAACCGAAACTTCATTTATTGTTTCTGCCAATTTCTAAAATATAACAGTACATGAACCTGAGACCAAAAAATGTTGACGACCACCATTTTTTTTTAATTATCAAAATGAGAAATGCATTCGTCAGATAGTTGAACTTGATAAGTTGGGTGACCAACCAAAAATTATTGCCAAATTTTTACATTTGGAAAATACAGAAACATATAATTGACACTGCTTCAGAAAATCATCTGCAACCATCCTAGTTGATGGAGGAGGTGATAATGGCATTAAAACGCCATGGTGGCTCGAAAAGTCAGACCGTGGCCGAAAGTTATGTAGATAGTTCTCTATGACATTCATAAGAAACACAAAAAATGTTCTCATGAATAGTACTGAAAACATTTGTATTTCCACCGTTTCAAATTCTCAACAAAACGGAATAAGACCGTCTTCTCCCCACATCGACGGCGGAATATCATAATAATAATGTAATAATGTAACTATAAATGTAGGTACATAATTATAACAAAAATGAACCCTAATAAAATGATTTGTAGGGATTTCATAAACTACACTTTAGGATTTGATCTCCACAGTAGCTTCTTCAACAGTGAATTAAATACTACAAGTTGCTTCTTACGCTAATATTTATATACTACAGATAACTACAGTTGACACTACCTCCATCAAATTACCTAAACCGCTACAACTATGAAGGTACCTCTTCGATTATGATTACCTGAGGCATATTATCTCACTTCTACATCAATAATAATACTTCCTCGGTTTTTTTTTAAGAAAACAAGTACAATAATGGTGATCTATTCAAATCCAGTTGGTTATTCATTAGAATACTTGAATTTTTTAGTTTATTAATTTTCATTGCTTCTAAATGATTCAGTTTATTTGGAAGCAATGGAAATTAATAAACTCAAAAATTCAAACATTTCAATGAATGACCAACTAGATTTGAATAGATCATCATTATTGGACTTGTTTTCCTAAAAAAAAAACGGGGGAGTATTATTATTGAGGTAATATGCTTCAGGCAATCATAATTGAAGAGGTACCTCAGGAATATAAAAGTTGTAGAGGTTCAGATAAATTGATGAAGATTGTCTCAATTGTAGTTACCTGTGGTAAATAAATATTAGCATTAGAAGCAACTTGTATAGTATTCAAATCACTGTTGAAGAAGCTACTGTGTTAGCGAAATATGTCGTGATATATTTCTCAAATAAAGTTTGTGGATATCAAATCGTAAGGTGTAGTTTATGAAATTACTATGGATCTTCATCAACTAACGGCCGAATCAATCAGATAATTTGTAGGAAATATTTTCGCCAATGTTTGAATCATTTAATTGTGTCCTGACTGACTGACTGAATTTGTTTATTATCCAGAGCCCTAATCTCAAACAAATATATTGTAGCATTTCTTTTCACGGTCAGTCGTAAAAAAAGTATAGTATGCACCTCGAGGAGGCCAATTACATCCACTCGCGAATTATCTCACTCGGCTAACGCTTCGTGCTTACAATTTTTCGCTCGTGGATAATAGGAAGCTATAGATTATGCTGTAGACGACCCCTCCCGATATAGAAGGCCCCGACAGACTGTCGAATGAGGCCCTCATGTCGTCCGTTAAAGGATGAACAGATCTTTCATCCGTCCCACCCCAGCTTGGTAGGGGTATCCCGTGAAGGGCGGCACTGATGTCTGTGGACTTCATTCCGCCAACATGATCCCATTTGTCCTTTCTTGACAACAATCAGCTAAAAGGGTAAGGGAGCTGGGCTCCATCCTGTTTGAACTGAAGACGTTTGGTCAGTGTGTTTACGTGATGAACTCGAAAAACTATTATCGATATTTTTACCTTTGTGGAATTAAACTCTTTATTGATTCATTTTCAAATATATGAACTCCGTAAATGGAATCTTATTACATATCATAAATTGAAAATGTTTGAAATAACTTGTCTAATGTTTGATTTCTCTTACATGTTAAGCGGACTTTGTTATGGTAATATTTTACCCGTTCAGAAAATATTTTGTCATATGTCTACGATAGTTACATTTCATGTTTACGTAATATAACGTGACTATTCTACGGTAGATTACTGTAAACATATAGCAAGTAACTTCTATGCATTTGTTTAAAGGTGATTGACAATGTTTCGTGGTGTATTTCATCAGTTCGTACTGCCATTGTCTAATTTAATATAAATTGATTTGAAATCCCTGGAAGAAAAATTAAAAACATTAACCGAAAAATAACAATTTTATTGAACAAAACACTGAAATTAAAATGAAATAACATACAAGCAACAACCAAAAAAATAAAAATTGAAATATTAATACAAGCTGAAAATTAAAAAATTAAAAAATATTATGAAAATGAAATGAAGAAAGATATGAAAATTAGAAATTAAAAGATTCCAAACCAAGTTATGTCACGACGTTTCGATTGTTAGTATTCACAATCATCTTCGGGATTCCAAATTAATTTATATTAAATTAGACAATGGAAGTCCGACTTGATGAAATAACTCCTATGCATGATCTACACAACTGTCAAGAGTTCATTTTGAACTCAATTAGCTCTCTTCCTTCCCTCTGGAGTTTCCTACCTTTTTTGTTTAAAGAAGGGGAAGTGAAAAGGCTAAAATCCTTTTTCTCCAAATACATAAACATTTTATCATAAGTTTTTCATATTTGTAAGTAAATGAGTGGCACAACTTTATTACCTAACATAAAAGTACCTATTGCACTACTTTCATTTTTGCCTGCTATTGCTCATTGTCTGAATTTAACTACTTGTTAATCAAGCCCGCTGTAATTTATGTGACGAAAGCACCTTGAACATGCAGACTGAGCCTTCGAAAACGTACAGATAGAAAGAATTGACACTCAAAGCCGTTTTCGTAAAAATCTAATATTAAAAAGGATTTTTAAATAGAACTGGCCGATACTTGGTGAAAATCCATATCAAAACTAATTAATACAGTTTATTGTATGATTTTCACTAGAAAGGGTTGTACAAAAACCGCGACACTTGTTTCGCTATCCAATAGCTTTCTCAAGCATAAAACTCCTATGCCTGAGAAAGCTTTGTATAGCGAAACACGTGTCGCGGTTTTTTTGTAAAATCATACAATAAACTGTATTAATTAGTTTTAAAAAGGATATGTGTCTGATTAGGACAAATTCAACCCAAAAACCATTGCAAAGCTTTCAACTCAATGAGGGGGGTGTCGTCTCCAATTTTTTTTTGAAGAAAATCAGGAATCGCTTAATATACCTTTATTCAACGTGCATTCGAGTTTCTATCAATTGCTGTATTGTTTTTGCTGGTTCAGAAGAAATAGATCTTCGAAATACCGGCAATATGTTTTCCGAAAAATGAAAAAATGAAATTGATGTTGATGAAGGAGTAGAAATCAAAAATCAAAGTCAGAATTTCTTCAATAAATATCGACTTTTACATTAAAAATTTTGTTAAATTCTGAGTTCAAATACATAATTCAGTAGTTTTGTTCAAATCATTTGAGGCTCTTCTATGCCGTCCTAATAATATGAATGTTAGAAAAGCCTTCGGAAAAATTTTCAGTTTTTGTCGTTCAGCAATTTTCGAGCAAAAGATTCGGACAGGCAGAGTCTCTTTAATGTGTTTATAAATTGTTTCATGACCTTTCAAACTTATCATTATTGGTCACTTATGAAAGAGGAAATGATTGAACTTCATCTTGTTGGAAAAATTGTTCACAAATTGATGGCAACATTTAACGAAACTGGGACGTTTCAAAATGAAAAGAGACAAGGTGAAAATCTTGATGGATCTTTAATGATGGGGGTATTAGAAAAAAATGCAATGGATGGTACGCTCAGTATAAGAACATTGGACACTACGACGAATGAAATCCATAAAAATTGAAGACAATTGCTTCTAGAAGTTCATATGCGTATTGATAGTATTCCATTCGAATGAAACTTCATGTGAATCCTTTTTCATGCGATATGTTGTGTAGTGTTCTTTGTGAATAATATCCATTTCAATTCCATAACGGATATTTTGAGTACTAACTGATTACGAAAAAGTGATTTCCGTGTCATTAATTGTTCATGTTAAAAGTAGATGTTTCGTATTAACTCATTCTCCAGTTAGTATATGTGAAGTCTTGACATTAATAATATTGATTATTCAACAATAACATTCTCTCATTCAAAAGATGGATAGTTGACTCCTTAGTAGTGATACTTCTAATAATTCTGTATTCAGTGGAGTGGGCTGAACTATTTCGTGAAATATTGTGAAAATATAAATTGCATTCAATTCATTTCCCCATTTCTAATCTTCTATTATATTTGATAATTTTCACAAGTTACTCACAATAGATCTCATAATTATTCTTGATTATCATTAAATAATCATGCCATTCACAAATATCAGAACGAACAATCGTCGAAATTGAAAAAACAAAAAAAAATCGTCTGCATATTCCATCGTCTACCTTCAACTCTGAGCCGATACTAGTAGGAACAATTAGTAATCAGCAATGACATTCATTCAACTGGATAAACAACAATCTATAGTTGGTACACTTACAGAAGAATTTTCATCACATCCCAGAATAGCGTAGTAATCTTCATCTGCTTTTTTCTTATAATCCAGAATATTATCGACATTCGTCATTTTCGGAATACACTTCCAACTTCTCACCTTCCAACGGTGAAAATCAAACTAACTCGACTCCGGCGTCACTTCTCACTCTGAAAATTCCGGGGAAATTGGAAAACCCGGTTCGAAAGGCGCGGTAAATCCGAGAGTCAGCTGTCATTAACAAAACACGATCGGATACTACTGGAACGACCGAGGTTAATTTTGTTCGTATTGGTAACTTGAAATATGGTGAAAGTTTGTAGAATAAAATGGATATATGTGAATTTCAAGAATTGAGGCAAAGATATAAGCGTTTGAATGTCAGGCATGCGCGGTACGACAGTCTGGAAATTGTATGTTTGTGGGGCAAATAGGGCTATGCTGAGAGAGAATCGATGACCCTATTCCCGAGGGATTCTGCGAATGCACTGCAAATTGTGTGGCCGTTGAATAATATTGCCCAGTTCCGTTTCAAGACTACAGACAATGTATCTTTGAGAGTCAATTCCAAACTGGTTTAAATAAATAAACAAAGAGATTTTATCTGAAGCATACCTACTACGTCATCGAGTAATGTGGTATTTCAAGCAAATAAACATAATTGGTATGAATGGTTGACCAACAACTTTTATCGCATCATTAGATAACAACATTGTTCGTTTCACAATATGATTTTGTTATATTCGATCTCATTAATCTAGTCTGCTGGTAGGCAGGGTCGGTGTTAGGATTCCTGTGATCAGAAACAGATGTTTGTCTTCGCGTATAAATACATGATCCCGAATCACATTTCAAAATAATTAAAACCAACATGAATATACAAGTTGATCAAATGCAACCCGGGTCTTGAAACCGTGAAGGGGTATTGTATATATCCTTAAATATTTGGAAGCCTTCAACGTCTTGAGCGATCATCAATATGGCTTTCTGAAACAAAGATCAACAGGCGACCTTCTATCGTATGCCATCCATATTTGGAATAACGCAATCGAGAAACATGGAGAGTCAAGAGCTGTTGCGCTTGATATGTTTAAGATATTTGAGCGTGTGTGGCATGAGGGTTTGCTGGTCAAACTTCGATGCTATGGCTTGTCGCATCATTTTTGTGTATGGCTTTCCAGCTTCCTGAAAGAACGTTTCCTGCAAGTGACCATCGATGAGTATATCTTGAATACTTCTTCCATCAACGCTGGTGTTCCTCACTTGATTTGAATTCCAGAACATCGGCTGCGGATGCACATCTTCACCGGCAGCAGGAGAATCTAAAAGTAATTTCGAATTGGGGTGACACTAAATAGGTTCAATTCAATGTTACAAAAACCCAGGTATCGGTTTTTTCCAAAAGGATAAATGTCTCCTAACCGGATGCAATAATGTCAGAACAGACAATTCTGCATCGATGAGTTCGCTGAGGGTTAAAATGGACACCAATATGTCTTGGCATCATCATGTTGCTGGAGTTACAGAAGCTGCTTCTAAAAAGCTTGTAACACTATTCCGAACTAGACAATTGTACACACCTCAGCAACTTTTGATTCTTCATGAAGCTCAGGTGGGTCCTTCTTTGCAGTATTGTTCCCATATATGGAGTTCCTTCCCTAAGCATACCATTAAGCTGCTGGATTCCATCCAGAAAGGAGCCATACGCCTGATTGGAGACACAAACATCACTTGCAACCTTGATAGTCTGTCAAGGGAGAATAATCCATTTATAGACATTCTATGCACATTCTTTCGGGAATAATCCTGCCATATTCATTCAAGCATATTCTATGAATATTCTAAAGGCATGTATATATTCCAAGAATATTCTATGAATATTTGGAATATATACGTTCGTTTTATGATATACAGAGAATATTCCATGAATATCTAGTGCTGTATGGGTTGTACACACCTCAGCAACTTTTGATTCTTCATGAAGCTCAGATGGGTCCTTCTTTGCAGTATTGTTCTCATATATGGAGCTCCTTCCCTAAGCATACCCTTAAGCTGCTGGATTCCATCCAGAAAGGAGCCATACGCCTGACTGGAGACAAAAACATCACTTGCAACCTTGATAGTCTGAAACATGGAAGAACAGTTGGAGATTTGTTTCTGTTTCATAGATACTTTCACGGGAAGTGTTCAAGTGACTTGGCACATTTGATTCCACCAATAGCGGTACATACTGTCGCTGCTCATCATTTTGAGGTCCAATTCAGTATACATCGAACTTCACTGTTTGAGAACTCCATCAATTAGAGAACTGCGTTTTTGTTTGTTCATCCAAATGGATTCAATCTCCAGCGATTCAAATCAAATATGAATCGTGCAATATTCAACATATTGAAAACTGGACATTTTTTCATGCAAAATATAACTGAAAAATGAATTTTGGACAAACTTGTTGAATATACTTTCATAGAAATTAAATGCCATCTGAAAAATCGAGATACAGCATTCAAGCATGTGTTGAACATATGAATTTGACACGTTATTGACCATGATATCTTGATTCAGTGTTCTTTTTGTAAAAAAAAACATCGTCTTTTTCTTTTATTTGTTTTATGAGTAATAACTATAACTATTGTAATTACGTTTGCTCCATCCTTTTACCTTTTTTCTACACCTCTTTTCATATTTGATAGTTGGTACTCGATGCTTTTTCAGTAAGTGTAGACGAGTTCTTCCAACAGCATTCTTCTACAGATAAAACATTTTTTGCTGTTGAACCCATGAATTATTCAAATACTTTTTCCAGCTATATTCATTGTATTCTTTATACATTGTATTTAGTACAAAGTTCGTTAACATCTGTTTTACCATCTGTTGCGATAAATGGAGGAATTTGGATCTGTTCGATAGTTTTATCATCAGATATGTCATTTTGTTCCGTATCACTCTCTGTTGCTCCGTCATTCAGAAATTTTTCTTTAGAATCTGATTAGTCGTCAATGGGGGCAGCATCACTTTCAACTTCATCAAAAAGACACTAAAGACATTCTTGTTTTTCCTCAGAATTCATTTAACATTCATTGAAATATATGAAATGTTTCTTTAGGTAATGAGCACACGTTATTACTAGATGAGGCTTACCCAGATGGTTCTAAATATTCCATATTTACTGAAGCACATCAAAATCAAGATGAAGGGTGATTCATCAATTTTGCTAAATTTTTCTATTCTTCATATCTTACGAGTCAGAGTGTATTTATTTTTCATATTCATTACGTATATTCTTCGTCAATGAAGTGTAAAATAGCGTATAAATTCAATATTTCATAAGATGTCTCAACTCAAAATAGGCAAGTTATCACCTACTTTTCGTATAACTGAAAGTGTACCCTTCTTGAGATTATACTTTAACCATAGAAAAACTTCATTACAGTAAGAAGAGGCGATGACATCTCACTTCAAGAAGACTCCATCATTGGATAGACAGAAGACACAATCCACCAATATCAGAGATAAACGATGCTCCCTAAGGCGGTCCATTGCAAAGCCAAGTTTCGATATCGATCGTCAAATGGAATGCGTTATCTGTCTTTCACTGCAAGATTTGACTGCAAGGTAAGTAAATGAAACCAGAGCTCAAACACAAAGCATTTCTGATCCAACATGGGACCGGCTGTTTCGACTCGCTAAGGTCTCATCAGTTGTTACGTTCAATTTTGACTTTCATTTGTTCAGATCCCAAATCAATTCAATCGATCATATACGATTTTTCAATTTTATTAAAATGACATTTCTGTTCATATATCAATGCACTCGAGAGCTGTAAATCTCATGATACGGTCCAGTTCCGTGGATACAGCTGAAAAAATTGAAATAATTATTAATATTTCAATGTAGGGTGGGCGAACATCTACACCTTGATATGTATTGACGGTTGCAGTAGAATTCAGCTCAGTAATAGATTTCGTCTTGAAATTTGACTGGGAACTCGTTCATTTATGTATCCAGAAGATAGATGGAGGCTTCTTTATTTTAGGTGAATTTTCATATTTTCTTCGAAAGTGCACTTACCCAAGTGAAGAATAAAATGACGATCGAATAGTCTTGCAATTATTTCCATTATTTTGTTCAGTACTCAACATTGGAAATTCAAATTGTTTCCATCCGCATTGGATACTAGTACCTATTTTCAATTTCATGAGAGGCAATATCAATTATCTGTTTGTGAGACCAGGGAAATTTTTGTTATGAAGATGACAGCAAGGTCCTGTCATCGTTTTGTAAAGTTCACTATGTGGGATATATTTTTTGGCTTTCTTCTTCTCCATTTTTATACTAAAAAATGTGGGAATCATATTCACCTAGTCAGTATGTATTCCAAACATTCATTATGGAATTGAATCAGATATCATTCACAGCATTGCTACACAATATAGTATAATAATATGAAAGAGATAAATTTTCACTTACCAAGGAACACTATCATCTTCAATGGCGGACATCCGATGTTTCGGAATAAAACATTTGCCTAACTAACTCTTCAGCACCAATCTGGATAACATTACAAGATACAGCACTCAATTAATTTATTGGCTTTCTGATTTATACTTATATATACTTTTTAGTACCTGAGCCGATGATGCGTTCATTGAAAACTTAATGTGGAGTTGAAAAATGATTTTATTTCTGCAATGCTGATCGTACACTCATACAAAATACTAATTTGGGTGTTTCCTTTTAAAGGGTTTTTTTGCTGCTAGAGAAATCTTCTTACCATTTGAACACCTGTAGTTGATGTACAGGGTGGGCCAAGATGGAGTGTCTATTTAACTTGCTCAACATTAACAGTGAATACAGGGTGTTCACTTAATCTAGTCAACAATACCAACCACAGTACCAGCAGGGTTGTCTCACTGCGCCGTCTACAGAGTTTTTAGGCAAGTTATTCATTCAAAGTTTGTTCGCGTATTGCTTCTCTGCTAGGTACGACCGTACCTTAGGATAATTAATTTCCCCACTCTGCTACGATAGTAACATTCATTCACGAGGGCTTACTTATCGTATTGTGATATATTGTTTTCGTTCACGTTAAAATATCTGCAGTTATATTGCCGTTAATATTGTGCGTATTCATATGAATGGAATGTGGAAATGGAGGCGATCTTAGTATATTATTTTTTTCCGTTTATCCATGTGGTTCAAGTTACCACCAATACGATGTGCCTGAACTCAAGCGGTCGTTTTCACTTCTCTTGTAATTCACCTCGATATGAAAAGATCCCTGATGCTCTCGATTTACGCGGTAATACGCATTTACTCATGTACTTGCATTCGTATAAATTATCATGAAATATTCTAGTGAGTTGTACTATTGTGCCATTCACGTTTTTGTATTCAGCCCTTTTGGTAAATTGAAGGATTGGGGTAGACTTATATTGGTTGTTTGGTAGGGAACAAATTTACCTAGCCTCCAAAACATCTATACCATTATTAGTCATCCTTTCAACGAACTTCCACGTTTCCACTGATAGCCGCAAATGCTCACTTGTCATCTGT